CCCAAGGCTGGTGTGTGTGTGTGTGTGTGTGTGTGTGTGTGTGTGTGTGTGTGAGAAAGTGTTTGGTTTCCTGCATTCACCCAGCCTCTGACATGGAAAAGAACAGGCTTCCCTGCACAGGAGCATACGAGTGCCGGCTGGGGGTGGGCCTGGACCTGGGGGTGGTGGCAGAGGCTGGGGAGCTTTTGGCTGGCTCGTGCTGGGGAGAGGTGACTAGCTCAAGACCCACTGTTTTGTCCCTGCCGCCTGGAGCTCGGAAGCTTCCAGTCTGAGCTGAAGAGGGAGCAAGCAAGGAGACTTTAGTTTGCTTTGGGACCTCCCCAAGGTGAGGCTGCCCCTTGCTACTGAAAAGGAACTGGAGCGAAGGGCGTCAGGTCCCCATGATGCATCTGCCTTACAGGTGAACCCCAACAGCATTGCAGCCAAAGACGGCCGGATCCGTGAGGGAGACCGTATCATCCAGGTGAGTGGGCGGGGGGCGGGGGGCGGGGGGCGGGGCAGGGAGGCCTGACTGAGGCCCCACACTCTACTGGCTGCTCAGTGACCTCTCCTTAGCCAGTCCCAGCTTTCTCCTGCTGTGCCTGAACCCGGGGCTGGGTCTCCTCTCCCATACAACTGCCCCGGGGGGCTCCCAGGAAGAGGCCACATGCTCACTTGGTTTCCATCCTGTCAGAGCTCAAGAGCCTTTTCTAGGCCAGGGTGCTCTGCTTGGAGCTCCCTACGAGGGGGTCCCTGCAGCTCCATCAGGGCAGGGTCCACCCCAGAGCCAGCCCTGGCATTCTTTGTGATGGTCCCTTGGCTTGTCACAGATAAATGGTGTGGACGTCCAGAACCGGGAGGAGGCAGTGGCCATTCTGAGCCAGGAGGAGAACACCAACATCTCCCTGCTGGTGGCCCGGCCTGAGAGCCAGGTGTGTGTGCGCCAGGCAGGATATCCTGGGACCCCTGACGTTGGGCTTTCTGTGGGAGCTGCTGGTCTGTGACAAGGGCACAGGCATGCCAGCAACCTGGCACTGATGGAGGGTGGGTGGTGTCTTTGGGGCCCATTTCCCCTTGGGCCTCTGATGGCCGAGTGTGCCGGGGCCACCCTCTCTCGGGTTATTCAACTTAATTGAAACCAGGAGACCGGGTATGGGACCTAAAAAGGTCATCAGTGGGGTGGTGTCTGGGGCAGTCCTCAAAGCGGTGGGGACAGCACAGTTCTGTCTCTGCAGCTGGCAAAGCGGTGGAAGGACAGTGACCGGGATGACTTTCTGGATGACTTTGGCTCTGACCATGAGGGGGAGCTGCGTGCACGGAAGCTGAAATCCCCCCCTGCCCAGCAGGTGAGGAAGGAGGCAGGGCGGGCAGCGGGGAGCGCCGGTGGGAGGCCAGGGGGCTGGGGCATGAGGGAGATGGACTGGACCCAAAGGCCCTTCTGATCCCGACCCTGGCCTGTGGGACCCATACTGAGTGGGGCTCATCTTTCTGCCCCAGCTTGGCAATGAAGAGGAGAAAGGGGTCCCCGATGCGGGCACGGGCCTGAGCAATAGCCAGGAGCTGGACAGTGGGGTGGGCCGCACCGATGAGAGCACCCGCACCGAGGAGAGCTCCGAGCACGACCTGCTGGGGGATGAGCCCGCCAGCGCCGCCAACACACCCGGTGCCCTGCGCAAGAGCCGGGACCTCCACTTCAGCATGGACTCGCTGCTGGCAGAGGGGGCAGGGCTGGGGGCTGGCGACATCCCGGGCCTCACCGACGAGGAGTATGAGCGCTACCGGGAGCTGCTGGAGATCAGGGGCCACCTGGAGAATGGTAACCAGCTGGGCCTGCTCTTTCCCCGAGCCTCGGGCGGCAACGGCGCCCTGGATGTGAACCGCAACGAGAGCCTGGGCCACGAGATGGCCATGCTGGAGGAGGAGCTACGGCACCTGGAGTTCAAGTGCCGCAACATCCTGCGGGCGCAGAAGATGCAGCAGCTGCGGGAGCGCTGCATGAAGGCCTGGCTGCTGGAGGAGGAGAGTCTCTATGACCTGGGGGCCAGTGAGCCCAAGAAGCACGAGCTGTCTGACATCTCCGAGCTGCCCGAGAAGTCGGACAAGGACAGCACCAGCGCCTACAACACGGGGGAGAGCTGCCGCAGCACCCCACTGCTCGCCGAGCCCTTGCCAGAGAGCCCCCTGAGGCGGGCTGCTGCCGGCAACTCCAACTTGAACCGGACCCCCTCCGGCCCCACGGTCACCGCCCACCCCAAGGCAGCTGCCCCGCAGGGGAGCCCCGCCAAGTTCCGATCTCTCTCCCGGGATCCCGAGGGGGGCAGGAGACAGCACTCAGAGGAGCGTGTCCGCCGAAGCCCCAAGACGGGCGTGACCCTGGAGCGCGTGGGCCCCGAAGGCAGCCCTTACCTCTCTCGGCGCCACCGCGGCCAGGGCCAGGAGAGCGAGCACTACCACAGCTGCGTGCAGTTGGCCCCGCCGCGCGGCCTGGAAGAGCTGGGCCGTGGCCCCCTGAGTTTGGCTGCTGGTCCTCGGGTGGGTGGGGCAGCGGTGGCCCCCGAAGCACCCCGCATGGAGTGGAAGGTTAAGGTGCGCAGCGATGGGACCCGCTATGTGGCCAAGCGGCCCGTGCGTGATCGCCTCCTCAAAGCCCGGGCCCTGAAGATCCGTGAGGAACGCAGCGGCATGACCACGGATGATGACGCGGTGAGCGAGATGAAGATGGGCCGCTACTGGAGCAAGGAGGAGCGGAAGCAGCACCTGATCCGGGCCCGGGAGCAGCGGAAGCGGCGCGAGTTCATGATGCAGAGCCGGCTGGAGTGCCTGAGGGAGCAGCAGAACGGCGACAGCAAGGCTGAGCTCAACATCATTGCCTTGAGCCACCGCAAGACCATGAAAAAGCGGAACAAGAAGATCCTGGACAACTGGATCACCATCCAGGAGATGCTGGCCCACGGCACTCGCTCTGCCGACGGCAAGCGGGTCTACAACCCTCTGCTCTCCGTCACCACTGTCTGAGCCCCGCTGTGCTCCAGCGCAGGCCCTCTGCTCCAGCCCAGGTCCAGTGAGCCTCCCAAGACCCTGTCCCCTACTCTCCCTTAGAATCTAGTGTGTGTCTGTGTGTGTGCACCTGTGTGTGTGTGTGCGCATGGGATTTTGTGACCAGAGAGAAGCCCCCAGGAGAAGGGACGCTTCTCTCCGTCGGCTACTTCCTGCTCTCCAAGTACAGCAACCACGGCGACAGCTGGCATGGGGGGCAGACCCGTAGCAGGCACCCCTTCAGCTTCGTGCTGGCGGGTGTGCGCATCACAGGCCCTGGCACATGGACGTGCACGCGCGCGCGCGCCCTCCAGAGCTCTCTGCGCGGGTGCTCGGGGACAGGAAGGGCGACCTGGAAAGCAGAGCCAAGAGGACTGCCCTAAGCACAAGAGAATCCCTGGCTTTGGAGCAGCCTCGCCCCCTGCCGGGAGCCTTGGTTATTTGTAGACAAAGGCAACCCTGAGTTTTGTGGGTTTTTTTCCCCTTTCTGTGCTTGCCAATTGTTGTTTTTCTGTTTTGTGGACCTGCTCCGGGGGCTGGCAGCTCCTTCAGGCAGCCTGACAAAAGTGGAACCCGCAGTGATGGCTGGGGAGGAGGTGGGGGGGGGGGAGGAAGAGAGGGAGGGCTGGGGCGGGGGAGGGGAAGGGTTGGGGAAGGGGAAAATGGGAAGCAGCTTTCTTGGTGGTCTCCACTCTGAGGTATGGGGACGGGGAGCCTCTGATGTGGCTTGTGAGGCCCACCCTGGGGGCCACTTCCTTCCCCGATGACGGAGGGAGAGCCAAGACATAAGTAGCAGGGGAAGACCTTGGTGACAAGACCCACGCCGAGCTGAGGGAGAGGCCTGGACCGGAGAGAGCCGGGGCTGGCCAGCTGGGCTGACATGGGAGAAGGTGCTCTGCACCCCACTCTGCAAATGTGAACCAGGCCCAGACCCCAGGGCCCCTCTAGCTCAGAGAGCCTCAGACTGGAGGCAGACAGGCTGCCCACCCCTGCCCCCCGTCAGCATCGAGGGAATAAAGCAAGCTGCCTTTTTGAGGTGACTCTTGGCCTCTCTTGTGTTCATTTTCATCTTCATCGGGCTGGGGAAAGAGATGTGGGTTTTGGTGGGGGTGGCAGGGCGGGCATGGGCAAGGCATGGGCCAATTGAAAGCTATGCCTCTGTGTTTTCTGTCACTGAGGAACTGCCAGGTCTTCTGAAGTCCCTTTTCTACTCTGAGAGGTGGGACAGTCACTGGAATTGTCTCAGAAGTGTGAAGTCACAGGGGTGATGCCCAGAGGCAGGCCTTGCTACCAGTGCTAAGCCAGGCCTCTGCCATGTGGACGAGGCCAACACTGGTCCAGTGGAACCCTTGAGAAGCGGGTTCTACCCTCCTCTACCCTCCAGCTCAGGAAGAGCCCTAGAAGGGGCACAGAGTTGGGAACTTATGAAAGGCACAAACTACCCTCCTTGTTTGGGGGCTCCCACAGTGCCGAGCACGGAGACTGCCGAGTAAATGAACATCCAGGTGGCCACAGAGGACCCTTCCATGTTGGGAACTCCCAGAGGGGCAGCCAGATGCTCGAGGTCCCATTCAGTGCAGCAAACCACGGGGCTGGGCTCCAGCTTGGGGGTGTGTGTGTGTGTCAGTGTCACCCCCTGGGCTGGGCAGTACAGCAGTGAAGGAGCTCAGTCTCCTGACACACACAGGACACCACCAGCAGCTGAAGCGAGCAAGGACGCATGAAGATTCTGTTGAAACATCAGCACAGGCCTTTCGTTAATTTCCCTGATTTGCTGAGATGGGCATGAGCTAGAAATTCGAGCAAGTGTTCCCAGAAGCCAACTGCTCTGCGGGGAAGGCTGGCCACATCTGTGAGCTGCTGCCTGAGGAGCTGGGAGGGAAGGCCCAGCACATCACAAGGCAGGTCTGGAACATCAGCAAGCAGGAAGGGAGGAAAGTGCTTGTCGGTGAGGAGCACATGGGAGCCCAAGGGGTGGGGGCTGGTTCTGGAGCTGTCGGCTTCCTCTGCCCTCTGAGGCCTCTGGAGTCCAGCACTGGGCACATCTCTTCGTCTGGAGGGGATACCCGGGCCCCAAGCAGGCCTTGTGGAGAAGGATGGGACTCCAAGGGCCCAGTCCCTGCTGCAGGATACTGGCTGGAGGTCAGCTGGAGACGGAGGCCAACTGTTGCCCTGGCATCCCTCTTCAGTGGCTGCGGGGGCTCACCCTGTGGGCACTAGAGGCACTCCATTCTTGCCGTGGGGGAGAGGGGAGTGCTGGAGACCCAGTGCTCTTGGGATGTGGGGCCAAGACAGGCCCATAAACTGGAGTCCCTTGCCATGTAGAAGCCAACACTGGGACTCTGTGAAAGGCGGTACTGGGAGGGCTAGCAACCCTTAGCTACTGATGCCCTGGAACAGTGACTTCACATTTGGGTCCTACTGCCAATGAGCAGAATCAAGAGCCACTGAGTGGCCGACAGCTGCCATCGTCCACCCTGTCTGCCCCCACAAAGGCTGTTGGCAGAACGTGGGGACCCTTTACTCCCTGGCAGTGAGGAGTGGGCAGCAGGCATCCCTTGAACTCCAGAAAGCCCACCCACCAGTACTCCTAGCCTGGTCCATCAGCAGGGGACTCAGCCCCAAGTGTGCTGTAGCCCTGCCCTTCGGAGTAAGGAGGCAGTTCTTGCCCAGGGCCTGTGAAGTGAGGACACAGAGGCAGCGGTGTGTAGGGCGTGGACTGAGCGCTCCTCAGCTGCCTGGCTAGCGGCTTCAGCTCCGCCACAAGCTAGGCCCCCCCCCGCCCCCCGCAGGGTGTTGCTCAGCAACAGCAAGGGAAGTACTGGCTCCCACCCAGGACTCCACCCCAGAGGCATTCTGAAGGCAGCTGGGCCTGCATCTACCTGTGCCGTGACTGCTGGACTTCAGGGAAGTTGGGAGCGGCCCGGCCTTCTCTGGGCAGCTGCCCAGCCAGTGGCTGGGTGAGGGCAGGACGGGACGGGGCAGTCCTCTCTGCCCAAAGACAGCACATGTGGGGCAGAAGAGCGACCCCACGCCCTGCCCAAACCCGTGCAGGCAGCCACGAGAGATAGGAGGCAGATTCGGGGAGGCGGGCAGGGAAGGCTGAACCGGGGGCCAAGGAAGGAAAGCCGGCGATGGCAGAGTGCAGAGCAAACACGCGAGGCTCAGGAGCTCCAGCCCCGTCCGCACTCAGTGCCTGCGCTGTCCAGGTGAATGTGGGCGCCCGCTGCCCGGCTCTGCCCGTGTGTAGAAGGCACGACAATGCAAGTCAGGACCCCCTGTCCTGAATACTGGTTATAGCCAGCAACTGTTTATTGAAAGTAGCAATAGCCCAGGGGTGCCACCTTCAGGCCTGGATGTGACTCTTGGCGCTGAAGGCCAGGTAGTAGATCACTAGGCCGATGGCTGCAGCCAACACCTCGGTAGAGACCCAGGGCCCGTTCCAGGTGCCCTGCAAGAAAGGAGACCAAAGCCAGCTCAGGGGAGAGCTGGGCAGGGAGCCAGCCCACCCCAGTCACTCTCCCTCTAGGGCACGAAGGCACACTGGCCAACTACAGCCCAATCCCACCGCTCAAAAAGGGCGAGGCTTGCTGTGTGCTCCCTGCTTTCCCAGAGACCAGGCAGCCTCTTCAGCCCACTCACCCGATGGTCCACACTGACTGTGAACAGAGGCGGGATGACGGAAATGTCCTCATTATTTCTCTGAGCCTGCAAGGGAGATGCTGGCGTCAGGGGTGCTGCCAGGTGGGGTGGGGAGGGGTTGGACAGGCAGTAACATTGGCCTGAGTCATGGAAGAGAGGAGAACCGGGCAAGAGAGGAGCATGGGAGGTGCAAGGACAGGTGAGGCAAGTGGTCAGGGAGGTGCCCACCCGGCCATCCTGTGCTGCGAAAGTGAGGCCCCTACTGGCCTGGAGCTTCAGTGAGAAGGGGCTGCAGGGTGGAGACGGCTGTGGAAGTGGGGGGGTACCCTCCCTCCTGGAGGCCTGGGAGGGGCTCCAGGTGATGGACCCTCACCTTCCTCAGGAGGCTGTAGGACTCCTCATCAAAGAATCTGACCTCGTAGGTACCTGCGTGGGCGCTCTTGTGGTCTAGGCTCCAGGATACCTGGGTTGGGGATGTTCGGCAGGGGTGGGTGCAGTGGACAGTACCGCCACCAGCCGCCCGCGTCAGAGAGCCTCAATCCTCCTCCACTGGGCCGCCCCTAGGGCTTCAAAGTCATGCCAGGGAGCAAGAGGCCTCCCCTCAAAATGACAACTATGGCATCCCTTACCTGATAACGCCCCACATCCTGGCCCCGGGTGACAGGAAATTGTTTTCCACTGACATCAGCATAAAGAGCCATGTTCTGGGAGAGGGAACAGACAGTCACCTTCTCCCTTCTCTGGCGCTCAGCAGAAGCCCCACTGTGCTGCCCACAGCAGCCCCCATGGCCTATGGGCAGAGAGCACCACGGGAGATCCATGGAGGTAGCCTGCCACAACTCAGGGCCGTGCCAGGAAGCCAACACCCACTGATGCTGTTACTGCCTCTCTGCATGTTTCCCCTGTGTGTGTGTGGGGGGGGCACGTACCCCCTGTGGCCTAGCCTCCCTAACCCACAGCTAGCCTGTTAACTGTGAACAGAGGCAGGATGACTAAAGTGTACTCGTAATGCCTCTGAGTCTGGAAGCGGGTGTTGGGGTCAGGGGGTGCCCAATGAGCCACCCAAGGAATGTTGTACCCAGACCAGAAAGGCCACACCTTGGCAGACAGCAACCAGAAAAAGGGATACAGGAGCCTGGGGGCTAAACTCCTGCTGTTTCTCACTTCAGCATATGCTCTCACCAGGCACAGCAAAGACGTCTACCTACATTTTCGCACCTAGGCAGAACAGATCGGGAAAACGTTCTTTTAACATCTGCTTTAAACCGTCTGGCCTGGCTATACCCTGACCTCTCTCTCCTATACCTGTTAACTCAAAATCCTCATTCTGTCTGCATGGGTACATGGGTCTGACCCCATCAGCTGCCAGTGAGGAAGTGATGCCCCAGGTCCCAGGCTCACTGCCTGCCTCTTGGCCCAGCACCTGCTGGCTGAACCCCCACTGCCTCACCTGGACCCTGTTCTTGCACGTCAGGGAGATCTCCACGATGAAAACAGTCTCAGTGGAAATGACGGCATCCGAGGTGGTGTAGTAGGAAGGGGTGATCTGGGGCTCCACGCAGGCTTCTGCTGTGGGGAGGAGGTAGACATGTCTACGTAAAGCCCAATTAAATGTGCAGGGCTGGGGGCAGAAGGGACCACCCAGACCCACTTCCCAGACCTTGTCAGCTGACACACAGGGCCCTCTGCAACCTGTCGGGTGGGCTGTGGGAGACAGATAAAAATGCTTAGTCGGAAATGCAGCAGTAAGGGTGGGGGGGGGGGGATAGGGTGGGATGGCCCTGAAGGCAGGCTGGGGATGTGGGATGGATAGAAAGGCTTTGTATAGGTGGAACCTAAATGTGAGGGCAAAAGAGCCTGAGAGAGGGAGGGAGGGAGGGAGGGAGAGGTACAAAGTGTGTGTTTATTGGCGGAAAGGGCAGCAGCTGGACGGATTCACTGCACAACTGGTACCTGGACCTGGACCTGTGGACAGGGAAGCCATGCAATGATTTGGGGCTCCAGCCTGCCTTGGAGCACCCCAGAAGCCCAGGGGGCAGACGGACTTCAATTCAGTGACATGCATGGCCCTGGACAGTTTACTGAAGGCATCCTCTGCAGAAACCAAGCATGGTGCTGCTTGCAATGCATGAGGACTTGAGCTGAAGGGCTCTCTGCCTCCAGCCACAGTTGACAGAAGGCCAAGACTGGACCCAGCATTGCCCAAGGGAAGGAAATGGGCACAGTTTGTCCCCTTTAACAGGGCTGCCTGGAGAGAAAGGACGCTCTGCCTCTGCCACCTCCATACTGCTAGAGGCCTAACTCCTACAGGTTATACGAAAGGCACTGCCTAAATCACAGGGTGCCAAGCAGATGCTACCAGTGGGAAAGTTCTCAGCCAGCTGCCCTCCGGATGTGAGCTGGCACAGCCATGCATTAGACTGAGACAGAGAAGCTTTGGGTCCGAGCAGCAGAAGGAAGATGCCTGGGAACATCAGTGGGGGGTGGTTCTCAGGAGCCACGTCTGTGTCCCACTAAGCTTGGCCGTTTTCCTATGGACCCTGTGGAGCACCAAAGGGTTTTACAGCCAGGTTTGTCCTTTCCAGACATCACTGGCTACACCATGGGTAATTCCCAAGGGGTAGGTGAGGAGGGTGCAGGCAGGAAAGGCAGTTAGGCTGATGAAACACTCCAGGCACCAAAGGCTCTGACCTGAGCAGGGCAGGTAAAGTGAACATGTAGAAGGCATCCCGGACCGACTCTAGGCGCCCCCCAAGCTTAGCGCTGGTTCTGGCAAGGAGCTCCACCTAAACACATTTCTGGACTCCAGTCTGAGCTCAACCCTGCCACCAGGTGTTAAGAATCTCTCAAGAATGTTCACTGATCTGACTGTGGCTCGGCTCTGCTGAAAAGCCCCTTAAGAATACACCAGGGCCTTAGGTAAGAAGTCAACAGTCCGGCCTGGCACCCAAGCCCTCCGCCCCTCCCAACCCCTTTTACCTTTTCTTCCCTCCTCTGCTGCTTCTATCTAACCTGCCCACGCTCGTGGTCCCTCTGCCCGGCACATCTCTGCTTCCTCTCTTCACTTACAGCTCCCTGCCCGGGGAGGCCTGGTCCCACCTCACCGGGTCGGTGGCTCCTCTCCCACCAGCCTACTTTCTCACTCCGATCGCCCTACGCTGCAGAGTTTTGCTCTTGTCCGACCCCCGTTCCGGGACTGGGAGCTCCGGAAGGGGAGCAGGGACGTGTGTCACTTTCCCTGCTGGAGCTGGGAAGCGGGCGCACGGGTCGGACTCTGGGACTCTTCCTCGCGGGAGCAGACGGGGGGAGGGGGGAGCTTTGGCTGTTTCTTCCAGAAGCCTGGCTGCTGGGTAAACGTGTGTGGTGCAAGAGCGCGTGGTGGCCTCGGTCGCCGCGCCACGAGGCCACCTGCCTCTCGGAGGAAGAAGGCCCAGAACCCTGCTTCGCCCGCACCCCTCCTCCCCCCACGCACCACCAGTCGTGGGAGAGAGGCTCGCCAGAAAGGAGCTCCGGCCAGGCCGCTACCTGAGCAGCAGGAGAGGCTGGACAGCAGGAGTAGCGCCAGGGCGCCGATAGATGCCAGCGCCGCCATCGCCTCTTCTCTGCCGAGGGAAAAAGAGAGCGACTCCCCAGAGCACGAGGGGCAGACGAGGAAGCGCGACGCGTAAGCAGCAGTGGCAGCCAATCAGGCGCCGGCGGGCTGGGCGGGCCTGTGACGTCACTGACGGCACTGACGTGTCCCCTCCCCAGACCAGAGGCCCAGGTGGCCGCCCCATCAAGATGGCGGCGGCGGCGGCGGCGCTCTCGGCGCCGGAAAGGGGCGTGGGAACCGGCGCGGCCGTGCGCGTGCGCACTGCTGGGTCCGTGCCCACTTCCGGCACTTCGCACCCTGCCTAACTCTCGCGAGAGCGGTGTCTGCGTCTCTGAACGTGCGGCTGCTCTCACTTTCCGTCATGGCGCTGAAGGTGGCAGCGGTCGTCGGCGGCGCTGCGAAGGCGGTGCTCAGACCGGCCCTCCTATGCCGCCCTTGGGAGGTGAGAAGGGGCAGCGGTCCGCGGGGACAGCCTCAACGCTTGCTGGGCCGGTCCGGAGACCGCTGGCTTGCAGCTTGTTTTGGAGCCCGATTGGCTGTGGGCCGCTCGAGGGGCGGGGAGAGGGCTACGCGCCGGAGTTGATTGGCTGTCTTCTCCGCTGTCAGTGAGGGGCTTGGGTGAAGTTGGCCCTTGTCCGGCTTCCCCAAGGGTCTGCATCTTGGGCGGGCGGGGGGAGCTCCGGACAAGCAGGGAGAGTGGGCAGCAGCGGACCGAGTGTCACTTCCCTAGTGTCATGGTGGGAGCCCTCCTGAGGTGGTCACGTGTCCCGGCCCCCCTCGTTCTTGCCGCCTTAGGAATCCGGTTCCCAGCCCCAGTTCGTCCTCGGGTTTTTTTTGTTGCGGACCGCCTTGTCACTTGTCCCAGTGGAGTTGGAGAACCAGATTTTGCCGGCACCCCCGATACCACACCCCACCCCCGGACATTTTTATAGCCCCAGATGTCTTCCCCCCCCCCAGCCTTCTGGAATGGGAGGGAGCTAGATTTTCTGAGACTGATGAGGTGGGAGGCCGTGGGGGCTTTGCTTCCTCAGTTTTCCGTTTAGGATCTTGTTTATTCAGGTCTCATTCCTTTTTGTTTACACACCTGGGCAAGGATAATTTAGTCCCTGGGTGGATCGGAAGCCATCCGAAGCATCAGAGAGCCGGGACTGGCTCTAGGGGTCAAGAGGTATGACCTCCAGGCCTAGCTGCCCCCACTGATCCACAGTATGGCCACCCTCCTGTCTCTGGGCTCCAGTTTCCCCTCTGTCTCAAAGGATCTAGCCAACCCTGACCTTCCAGAATCCTGTGACTTTGCTGACACTCCTTGTGGACGCATCTGGTATACTTCTGCCCTCTGACCCCTCAGGAAGCCTACCCTGTGGCAGCTTATACTTTATGAAATTCTGATTTCTCCAAACTTGCTGATGAGGGGCTTTCCAGAGGCCTGGCGGTCCTGGCAGCTAGGCTCCCATGGGGTCTTGGTGAAGACATTTGTCTCCTCCCTGACCTCTCCTGTGTGTGCTTGTGTCCGTGTTGGGGTGGGGGTGGGGGCAGGGGACATTTGGTAGCTGGGCAGTGCCTTGCCCTGAGACTGGTTGTCCTGGGTATGGGAAGCTTTAGAGATGAACCCCAGGTCTTTGGTCCCACCATTTGGGGTCTTGTGGGAAAACATGCAGCCACCATTGGCACTTGATCTAACAGAACATGCTGAAGAAAGAAATCTCACTAAGATTTGGAGTGTGGGAATCCTTTGACAGGAACACATACCACCCTGGACTCCTCTCTTTCTGTGGCACTATCAAAGGATGACTGACAGTCCATCCTCCTGCTTAATGAATGAGCAGTAGGCCTGTGCATGTATCCCATCCTGCCTTAAACTGGGCTTCTTTGATGGGTGGCTTCACAGGGCAGCGTAGGTGTGAGGCAGAACCCGTGTAACCCCCTGAAGGAAGAACGTACCTTTATCTGTCCAGAGCAAGGTAGGGAAGTAAGTCTATCTTGAGAGCTCTCTGGGTCTTTGGCTAAAGCCTGAAGAAACCTCTAGTATGGGGACCAGATGAAGGAAAGGTTTAGGTCAGGTGGTGATGTGATCCAAGGGAGGAGGATGGGGGTGGTTGCCCAGATACAGAGCTAGGTGCAGGTGGTGGCTCACCACCATGGCCGAGTTACTTGCCTAGTGCCAGTGGACTCCAGGAGGAATTACTGCTGGGAGCCATAGGGGTCTACCCAGTGCTGAACACCGGCCTAAGGAGCTGGTGGGGTGAAGAGGTGGGTGTGCCCTGCTGGGGACCAAAGGGCTTGCTGCACCCTCCCAGCAGCCACAGAAAGTGGGCATCTCTATTCCATGGGTTTCAGGTGAGGACAGGAAGCTCAGCAAGGTTAAGCTGTTTGCTACCAAAAATAGTGGATGGTGGATTTGGACCGAGGCCTCCCTGGCGCCCAAACCCACCGTCCCTTCTTCCATTTTCTGATGTGCTCATTAATTTGGGAAGTGTTTCTTATGTCCAAGCTCTGGACCAGGCATTCTGCTAGGTCTTGGGATGACAGTAAGGAGCTGGTCAGACATGGCTTCCACTCTCAGGAATTTTGGAGTTGGGGAGGGAGCAAGGCAGTTGCTAGGGACAGCCTAGGGAGATTGTGGTTGGTGGGGGAGGGAGTAGGTAGGGCTTTGGGGACCCAGGGGGACCTACAGTTCCACAGCCTTAAGGCATCAGGGAAGGCTTCCTGGAAGAAGGGCAGTGGAAGCCTCCTTCCACAAGTCGTATCAAGAGCCTACAAATAAGATGAATCCAGATACTGACAAGTGGTGGAAAGAAAAATGGGAAAGCCGCCAAGTGTGCCTGTCCCTGCAGACCCAGGGACCACAGGGATGAGCTGATACCTGGAGCCTTTCGTCCCAGTAGTCACTCCCTTTCGGGCCCCAGGCTTGGACGGGGCGGGTGACCAGCACACCAGTGCTCCCAGAGCTTGTGCAGGTGGGTGCCTCATGAATACCAGCCAGGGAGAGCCTAAGAGGTGGTCAGTCTCTGTCTGAGCTTTCTAGATTTCTAGCAGGAAGGCATGGCTCTTTGCAGAATGGCCATGGTGACTATGTTATTGCCTGGAACACTCTGCTGCTGTCCCAGTAGGCAAGTGGCAGGGCACCTCCAAGTGACAAAAGGGACCTTGGTTCTGTCCCTTCCTCTTTGGATTGAGGGACACCTGGGTGTGTTCCCAGGTGGGGCGTAGCAGGGAGGAAAGTGTAAGGACCCGTAGCCCCACTACAGTGGGGCCTGGGACACAAGCTTCTACCCCCAGGATAATGTGGGGACTCTAGATGGATCACTTCTCAACACCTGTCCCCTTTGGCTTGGACGGCTTTTACTCCGAAGCTGTCAGACATGGCTTTGGTGTGGCCAAACGTGGCTGTTTCTGAGTTAGGGAGTTGGGGACATTCATCTCCCATGTAGGCCACGAAGCAGTTTTGCAATCCTTTATGAAAGCCTTCTAAGAGATTGGAGTCTGTTATTCCTTTTTTTTTTTTTTAAGATTTTATTTATTTGTTTGACAGAGCGCGTGCACGCGCAAGCAGGGGGAGCAGGAGAGGGAGAAGCAGACTCCCCAGTGAGCAGGGATCCCGATGTGGGGCCCGATCCCAGGAGCCTGGGATCATGACCTGAGCCCAAGGCAGTTGCTTATCCAACTGAGCCACCCAGGCGCCCCAGGAGTCTGTTATTCTTGTAAAAATGGTTGGGTTTTCCGTGCCATGTTTGCTCTGGACTTGTGATTCTGGAGGGCTGTTCCCTGCAGTGCCAACAATGATTGTCTCTGGGTGGACAGGCGGCTGGGTGCTCTCTTTTTCTCCTGATCTCTGTGTTAGGACGGTATGCTGCTTTTGCAATAAGGAAAAAAAGATTTTAAAAATGATAAAATGATAGTCTGGACGGCCCTGTGCTTGGTTGTGATGATTTCCCTATTGTGCCATGTTTACTGTGCCAACTCCTCCGTGTTATAGACAACAAACATCACTGAGCAGGAGTAATTGGCTGAAAAAGAATCAAACGACAAAGGAGGGGGAGGGAGGCAAACATTTCTTCAACCACTGACTGTGGGGCTGAAGGAAGCGTAAAGGGTTGCGGCGCCCCTCCATGGTGCTTTGACTGGCTGCTCCTTGGGGAATGGAGGCTCTGGGGCCATTCGTCCGGGCACGTGCTGTGTGCTGTTCCCAGATGGTGGCATATGGTGGGGGTGAGGGGATGACACGTGGCACCTGTCTGGGTATGGTGGGGATGGTCCCTCTCCCCTGCCAAGATTTCAGCTGGCCTTTGCCAAATTGGCTTTCTGGGCTGGACAACAACCGCTGGCATCTGGGTTCTCTTTGCCAGGTTCTCAGTGCCCATGAGGCCCCCCGGAGGAGCGTCTCAGTAAGTTCCTGCCAGCGTGTTGCGTGTGTGTGTCTGTGTGTGCTTGCACGTGTGTATACACACGTCTACGCATGTATGCCCCGTCTGTGCACGTGTATGTGTGAGCAAGTGTGTGTAGAGGCGTGTATGTGTGTGTACTGTGCCTTTGTTCTCTGGCTCTCCATGTCCTTCCCTCTGAGGATGGTCTCCAGAGGTAGCCCACCCCTCCTCCTTACCCAAACTGTACTACACAGTATCCCCAGGGAAAAGGCCCTGTTCTCTGGGCACAACCTTGTTCCTCCAACCTTGGCTGATTGGTGTCTTCTTCCTTCCTGTTCCCCCTCTAGCAACAAACAATTGTAAGTATTTTTCTCATCTGCCTGTTAAGTTTTGGGGCTTTTAGTTGCTTTGGGATTGACCCAAGTCCAGGCGGGGGTGGAGACTGCTTCTGCTGCTGCCCTTCTGAACAAGGAGCCCCCATGAGCAGCCCTGTCTGGGGTGGGGTGGGGCGGGTGGGGTAAGATACCCCGAGTTGGCACCTCATGATTGGCTGGCCCTTTGGGCCCACTTTCACCCTCCCCTCCTTCCAGCCTCCGTCGGCTAAGTATGGTGGGCGGCACACAGTGACCATGATCCCGGGGGATGGCATCGGGCCAGAGCTCATGTTGCATGTCAAGTCTGTGTTCAGGTACACAGCCCCTGGCCCACCTCCTGTACCCCTAGGGGAGGTTGTACCCCAGGCCCACCTAGGGGGGATGGCTTGAGAACTGTGCCGAGAGGGGCAGTAAGCCCAGAAGCCC